AACTTCATAAAGTGAACAGGGGTTACATTAGGCATTCGGTAAAGGCCCATTATGCTCGGGATTATGACAACCACCGTCACAGGAAAGGAGGCACTGGTGGTGATTTTGACACTAGGAATTGAAGGCAGAGTCCTAAGCCAGGTGGGCCCGTAGCTCCTGAGCCCCTCTAGCCGACTGTCCATGCAGCCTGGAATGACCTCAGCAAAACCCAGGAGTGCAGTAAAGGGGGACAGAATTGGGGTGCTTTGTGCTCCCACGCCAGCTGCTCCCCTCTTCTGCATGTGCAGCAGCTGTGAGGGTTGCTTCATTCCGCCATTAAGCTACAGAGAGGGGACACGGCCGAAAGGGGCCACCGTAGGGAAGCAATTCACGTCCCATCTTCAGAGGCCCTCAAGACACCAAGCAGAAAAACTGCACTGAGAATTTGATCCCCCTGACGGCTTCATGAAATGGCCTTTCAGCCTGGAAGCTCTGACACGGAATTGAGAGGCAGCAGGATGAGGCACCTTCCCCCTCAGGCCTGGTTTGAGTCCCAGCTACACCCTTGTTGCCTCTGATCTCGGCCAATTCACTTCCTTTTCCGAGCCTCAGTCGCCTCACCTGTTAAGTGGAGGGGTTCATGCAAGTTTTGCAGATTGTGTAAAGATTTGGGGCCGGGGAGATGGCTCAGTAGGATAAGCGCTTGACTGGCAAACGCAAGGATCTGAGTTCAATCCCCGGTTCCGCAAAAAACAAAACAAAACAACAACAACAAAAAAAAAAAAAAAACATGAAGGAGTGTAAAGATTTGGTGCCGGACACTTGGCATAGTTAGGGCTCAGCAGAGTAGCCAGTACTATATGGATGGGAGGGGGCTCAGGCCTGGGTTTATGGCCAGGGCCCCAATGCTACAGCCACTGCCACGCTGTGTCCCTTGGTTATCAGAACTGGTAGGGTCCAGGAGCAGAGAAGCAGCCAGGGGCTGCTGGGTGAGATGGAGCCCAACCCAAGGGCAGGATCTGCCTGGGTAGTGGCCCGTGTGCCACTCTCAGTGGGGGATGGGCAGGCTTCTGTAACCAGTGTCCAGGGCAGCAGCTGCTGAGAACTATTCAGGGGAGGTGGTAGGAATGTGGGCTTGATGCCAGGCCCCGCAGCCTCCCTCCAGGGCGGGCAAAAAGTGCTGAGCTTCCAGCCTGCTGGATGGCGTTGGCTCCTGAGCAGGCACCACGTACCCTGTCCCCCCACGCCTGAGAATGTGGCATCCTCTGTGGGCCAGGGAGAAGGGAAATGCCAGCCCCAGAGTGCTCACGTCCACTGGCTATGTGGCCTCAGGCAGCTGGCTGCCCTCTCTGTTCCCCATCACCTCCTTAAAAGGAAGCAGATGGAGGCTGTGGGTGGCTCTTAGGGGGGTGACTTCCCTTCTCCTGACCCCCCTGAGCCTCAGTTCCAGCTCAGGGAAAAGGTCCATGGAGGAGAAGGCCGCTGAGCCTGGAACACGCAGAATCCCACTTATGCAGGTGACACAGTGCCACCCCGACCCCTGTCATTTCCTTTCCTCAGAGAGGGAAAGAGCGAGCCAGGAGATCCAGCCAGGGGAGCGCCTCTTCCGCTCTGCCCCACGCCCTGTGCCCCTTACTCTCTCAGGTTGCAGGGGTCTTTGTGGTGGGCCCAGCAGGGGAGGCGGCAGGACCAGGCCTGTCCCCCTGAGCCTTTCCCCCAGTCCTGCACTATCAGAATGGGAACCTCTGAGAGAGGCTTTACTGGTAGCACCATTTTTAAATACTAGATGTATTTAAAGGCTGAGGCAGGAGGATAGCACATTTAGCCCGGGCTGGGCAGCTTGGAGAGAACTTGGTTCAAAATTTTAAAAAGAGCTGGGGATGTAGCCTAGTGCAAAGGCCCAGGCTCCAATCCCTAGGACTGGGGGAGCGAGGCATATAACAGCCATTGAGATCATAATGAAGTGAATAGATTTTAAGCACCTACTATGCACTGGCCGTTTTATACTCCTAATTGCATTTACTCTTCAATAATACTAAAGGCATATAGTCACAGTAGTAATAATTGGCGGCTGTTCCCATGTATTTGTGTCTCCCACGGCCGGGCTCTAAGCTAAGGTATAAAGTTTCCATCATCTTCCTTATCTTGGTCCTTTGATGTGCATGGGAAATTGAGGTTTGTGCTGTTAGGTGCCAGTGTCACCAGCCAGCAGGTGGCAGAGTTGGGGTTTGGACCCAGGTCTGTCGGGGCCCAGACTTCAAGGCTTTCTGCCTTCTGATTTACCCTGAACTTGGCTGAGCCCTGGGCCTAGGCCACAGGGCGATGTCTGATCTCAGGGTCTCATGGGAACCCCTCCAAGAACCCTCCTCCCAGGGCCCCAGGCGTCTCCCAGCCCTTGGTCACCTGGCCTCGGTGATAGATGAGTTGGCACTGTGGCCACCCCCGGCATTGTCCTTCTGGGCACCCAAGCCTGCCAGGGAGTAAACCGAGCTCGGTAATTGATTGGCCCATGATTGATACAGGCGGTGGCTCAGACCACAGTTTGAACCCGGGCCCAGCCAGACCTCGGAGCTGCCAAGAATAGAGGAAGCCACAGCCTAAGCCTCCTTCCAAGTTTGGACACTTAATCTGCACTTCCTCTGAGATTGCATTGCTGCTGGTAGCTTTAGAGGAAGCTCCATCACTCGAGCAGCAAAGAAGCGGGGCCTGGGGCGTGGAGGGGAGCGGGCATGGGGCGCCCCAGCCAGGCCTGAGTCCTCAGCTGCTTGCTGGTCCCTGCCTAACCCAACCTTGCAGGACTGCAGGGTACAGAGTCTGTGAACACCATGCCTAGCCTCTCTTTGTCATGCTGCTGTCACCAACAGTGCTGGCACTCAGCCAGTTGGAGGTCTGGGGCCTGCACAAATTCGTATTAGGCACAAAAAAGCCTGTTCACCACTACTGGCCCTGCCCCTGCCCCGGCTGTCCTAGGAGCCCAGCAAGGCAGGTGTTTGGACAGCCTGATAAGAGAGCTGTGTGCTCTGGGCAAGGCAGCACCTCCTCCAGCAGGGGACAGGCCTGGAGACCACCTCGAACCCCTCCACATGCACACACATGCATGCACACCACAAAGGGGGGCATTGTAACTGCCACCTGTTCCCATCTCTGCCAGGTATTTTGGGGGTAGAAGAGAGAAGGGAAGGGTATAGGCTTTGGATCACTGACCTGTGCCAGGCTGCCTGGGTCTCTGCCACTCCCTGGGGCCCAGGCACAGCTTGTTCCAGGCCACACCCTTTCCCTACCCCTCCTGCTGTGACCCTTGGCCCTGCCTCTGCCTCCCTCTGGGCAGAGGCCCATGGTTCATGGGTTCTTTATTCTATCAAAACCTACAGTGCCTGCTAGGTGCCTTTTACCCTCCCTACTCTAGAGTCTTGGCATAAGCTGGGGTGCTGAAGCTTGATCCCCAGCCCAGAAAAAGAAGGCCACCTTTCACACCCTTTACTAGCCTGTGCTTTTGGGTGTGGCTTTGGACCCCTGGGAGACACATTGGGCTGTCACAACGCTGGGCAGCCTCCCACAGCGAGCTGTACCCTGCCTATCGCCCTCCCTAGCTCACTAGCTCCAGTCACGGGGACGGAGCAGCCAGAGACAGAGCTGGGTCCACACCCTGTAGAATGTGGGTTCTGTGTCACCCCTCAGGCCAGTGCAGGGTGGCTGTGGTTTGAGCTTCCTTGTGCTACAGACTTCGCAAAAAGTTAGCGCTGTTCAAAATGGAGGAGCTGCCAGGCAGCGTGGTGGGTTCCCCGTTATTAGAGGTAACCAAGCAAGAGCAGAGCCAGGTAGTAGGTCTCTGTCTGGCTTGAGGTCCCTTCTAGCCTTGACAGATGACATTGATATATGGTCCCTAAATACCATAGCGAAATATAACAGCCAGATATCTGACAGGTTGAGTTCCTATTCCCCAAAATCAAAGAATTCTGAGGAACAACAGAGGTTAAGTGTAGGAAATTTTATTTAGGGGAGACTAAATAAAATATCCTGTCTCAAGAGAGACAGAAGGAGAACCGGAAGGCGGGAGCCCACTGCTTAAGGAAAATTTGATAGAGCAAGATCCCGAGGTAGGTAGAAGATGGGCCACAGCTATGATTAACCAGTAAGATTACAGGTGTAGGCTTAGGTAATGTTGATCCAGTGGGGAAGCAGGTCATGCAGCGAACATTCATGAGAAGAAGGACTTTTGGGCTGACCAAATAGCTCAGCAGATTGAAATGCCTGCAAGCAGGTGCAGGGACCAGGGGTTCAATCCCTGGGCTTGCCATGCCGGCCCCACCCCTGGGATGTGCTGAGACAGCAATTGAGACTGGGCATGGTGGCATGCGCCTGTAATCCCAGCACTTGGGAGGCTGTAAACTGGTGGATCACTCTGAGTCTGATCTAATAGTGAGACCCTGAACACTCTGTAGACCCTTCCCTAAAATAGAAAAGAAGAGAAGGACTTTTTTGGGCCAGGGAGATAGCTCAGCAGCCTAACCACCTGCCTGGCAAGTGCAAGGTCCTGAATTTGAGCCACAGTACCAAAAGAAAAAGGGACCATTTTTGGAAGCAATGAGTCAGGAGGTCCTGGTCACCCACCTGGACTTAGAGCGTCAATCACAGTATATTAGGGGCTGGGGAGATAGCTCAGTGGAATAAGTGCTTCCCTGGAAAGCACAAGGACCTGAGTTTAATCCCTAGGTCTGCCCCCCCCCAAAAAAAGTGTGTTGTTTGTCCCTGGGGAGGCAGGTCAGTGAAGTCCTTGGTCTTTATCTTGAAGCCTGGCCTTCAACAGTGCCTCCGCCCACAGTAGTAATATGCCCGCTGCCCACCCCTTCCAGGCCTAGCCCTGATGCTGCCTGTATTTCTGTCTAACTTAGCCATCTATGGTGACGTGACAGGGGAGGCTCTGTCTGAGCCCCTAGGATGCCTGCGCTAAGCTCCTGGCCTCAGGCCACTCAGGTATGAAGTATACTAGGAATTCCTTAGGCCTCTCTCTGTGCCCACAGGTATGACGCTGGCCGAGACGGCTTCATCGATCTGATGGAGCTGAAGCTCATGATGGAAAAGCTTGGGGCTCCCCAGACCCACCTGGGCCTGAAAAACATGATCAAGGAGGTAGATGAGGACTTCGATGGCAAGCTCAGTTTCCGGGAGGTGAGTGCTGTCCTAGCCCTGTCCCCTGAAACTGCCCCTGAGGCCCTGGTGGCCAATGAGAGACCCGCCCCTTTGTCCCTGATTGGCATGGGACTGGCCACAGTGCTGGGTCACTTCACACTCGGAACCGGTCCTCGCCCTAAGCAGGAGCTGTTCTGCAGGGAGGAAGTGGGGTCTCAAAGTCGGGTAGCAGCGACCCTGGGGCCTAGAGAGCATTGGGCAGCCTGAAGGAAGCCCTTGGGAGAGTCCTGGCCTGGGGCAGCCAGCCAGAAGCTAAGAGAGTCGAGGAGCTGTTCAGAGGAACAGGATACAGGTTCTGATCCTTCCAGCACTGAGACTGGAGGTATCTGCTGCCTCCGAACCTTCCTTGTAGAAAAAACAAATGGAATATTTGTTTGGGGACCCCTGGGAGGTGGAAAGCAGGTGTGGCTGTTATTGAGACAAACAGGAGTCACCTGGCCTCCCATTGTGTAGATGGACAAACTGAGGCCCAGAGAGGGTGGCACAGGGGCATGGAGGGGTGAGATTCAGCTCTTAAGCTGGCTTGGGTAGGACCTGGTGTGGCAGGGACTTTGACTCTGTGGTCCCCTCCTGACATCTCACACCCCTCCCTCTGCAGTTCCTTCTGATCTTCAGAAAGGCAGCGGCAGGGGAGTTGCAGGACAGTGGGCTAAACGCGCTGGCCCGCCTCTCCGAGATTGACGTCTCCACTGAGGGTGTCAAAGGCGCCAAGAGCTTCTTCGAGGCCAAGGTGAGGTCCCTGAAGCCCCGGGCACCCGGCGGGTGGGTGAGCCCCTAGCGAGCCCAGGCATCCCCTTTTCTATCGGTGCCACTTCCCGCGGAGTGGGCATGCGCAGTTCAGGAGCGGAGATTGGAGGACAGCAGACTGATCCCGAACCGCTTGTTCCCCGGGCAGCTGACCCTCGGCCCCAGTTTGGGGAGAGCCGAGGGACTCCAGGTTCTAAATGGAAAAACTGAGGCTTGGAGGTGATGGCAGCGCACCGTGCATGTGGCGGAGGCCCTGCACGCTCTGAGCCGCCGCCCTCTGCCCAGGTGCAGGCCATCAACGTGTCCAGCCGCTTCGAGGAGGAGATCAAGGCCGAGCAGGAGGAGCGGAAGAAGCAGGCGGAGGAGATGAAGCAGCGGAAGGCAGCCTTCAAGGAGCTGCAGTCCACCTTCAAGTAGCGAGGCCACGGCCACCACCGGCCCTGCCCAGGGCGGGGTGCGGGCCAGGGGGGCGCGCGAGGCTGGCGCGAGGCCACTACTAAAATCTAAGTTGTGAATGGAGCTAGTCCAGGGGTGTCTCGTGCTGCCTGGCCACCGCCTGCTCCCTTCCGCCAACCCCGCAGCTGCGACCCCACCACCACCCTTGCCTGGCAGGGCCCTCCCTGGCCACCCCTATGCCTCACACTCCTGGCCCAAGGTTCCTCTGTGCCTGCCCCCCTCACCCATCGGACCCATCCTGCTGCTCTAACCAGCGGGCTGCCCTGCCCAGCACCTTACCAGATGGGAGCAACAGACACAGAAGGACTGTGACTATCTCCTTAGAGCAGCAGGCCAGGGGGCCCATGGCAGACACCGGAAGACCCTGCCTCAGGGCCTTGGCTGCAGCTCTGCCCTCAGCCTGCTGGGATGCGAGGGCTCCTTTTTTCTGGTGAGGGGACCCAGGCACTGGCATCTGGTGGCGGTATGGAGATAGGGCCCAGCCAGGCAGGGTGAGGGGCCGCAGTGCCTATCTACCTCATGGGCCACACTCTGCCAGGCCTACATGGGGTGGTGGGTGGGGAGGCCTGGGGTGCAGGAACATCCCTCCCCCTCCCCGCACACACACACACCCTGTACATCCTGAAGGGGTAGTGCTGCGGAGAGAGGAAGTTGGGGAGAAGGGACTGGGGTCCCTGGGAAGGGCTGGAAGTGTCTGCCCCACCACTGGGGAGCAGGGCCTGACCCCCTTTCCCACCCTCCTACCCAAGTGATGCCCCCAGCTTTGCCCCAGCAGCTCCTGCCTGTCACACCCACCCCTAGGAAGCATGGGGACCCCACGCCATTGCCAGATGGGCATGGCCTAGCCCCCACCACCGGCCATCCCCTCACACTTACCCCCTCGTGTGCTTGCTCACTTGTGTGTGTCTGTCTTGCTGTGTCGTGAAACTGTGACCGTCACCCAGTCCAGAGAAGTGAACGGCCATTGAGGCCACAGTTATGCAACTTTCAGTGTGTATCATGATAGCGTCACTGCTTTTTAAACTCAATAACTTTATTTTAGTACTATGCCCCAAGAGTCCCCGGAGCTCCTGAAGGGCTCAAAAGAGGTTTCATTTTTTTGGCCTCAGAACCTGCAGGATGTCGGAGGTGCCTGGCCCCGTGCGGTGGCCTTCACCCTGGATTGCATTTGCCTTAGCGGATATGTTTATACAGATGAATATAAAAATCTCCTTTTTCTTTTGGATTTTTGCGTTTTATATTTTTCTTCATCCTTTCTCACCCCCCCCCAAAAAAAAGCTACTTCTTCATTCGGTGGTACGATTATTTTTTTTAACTAAAATAAGAAAAAATTCTATATTCTTATGTGTGTGTGGTTCTTGCTGGTGACTGGGGCGGGGGCGGAAAAGAAGGGGACAGCTGAGGTCACCTGAGTGTGGGGTGGTCACGCAGGAGCGTAGGGGAAGACAGGACTCTATGGAGAAGCTGGTCTTTGGTGCCCACACGAAGCCCCCTGTTCTCGCTAAGCAGCGTGCATATTAGTCCTTCAGCTGTCGCATGGTGAGCGCTGGGTTGTATTCCTCAGAAGCGAAAAGCCTGGGCAGCCTAGCGGCACAGAGCCCAGCTGCCCGTCCGCAGCCTACACCTTGCTCCGAGGTTGCAGAAAGGGCTCTGTCTCCTGACGTCTCTCCCCCAAGCTTTTGCAGCTCTCAAATAGAAACAACCCTGCCGATCCCGTGGTGGTTAGAACTGAACGCAGGCGGGTTCAGTACAAGCGGACCAGGGTCTTCTCTGGAAGGCGGGGTTGGGGAGGAGGAGCTGGGGCTGAGGATGGGCACCACTGCCCCCGGGTGGCCATAGCCGGTACTGCATCGCCTTCTGGCTTCGCGACCCTGCCTGGGGCGCCTGGTGCAGCTCGGTGCTTAAGAGAGCACCCCCACCAGCCCAAGGGGAGGCTACGTGTCCCCTTTCAGTCCATCTCACCCAAAGGAAGGACCTCAGAATCTCTAAACTGAAGCTGTGGTGCACAGGCCCAGCCTTGAGCCTCCAGAGTCAGAGCAACGGGGCCTCCCCCACAGGCTCGGCCTGCACAGCACCCCACTTCCAGCGCTGGAGGGAGGCGCTAGAAATAGAAGGCCGAAGTGATCCAGGGACCCGGGAGGCCAGCTCCTCCAAACCCTTTCCAGGCCTCCTCCTCTTAAGCCGTCCCACCCCACCCCGGTCCCAGCCTCACCTCCAATCCCTGAACTAAACCCTTATTGTCCCCAAAGCCCCACTGCGCACCTGGGGTTTCCACCTGCTTTTGAGCAGAAGTCCCGCCAGCCCAACCCCCTGCACCGACCTCATCAAGAGGCAGCAGCTGCCTGAGTCCTGTCTCAGCGGCCAGCAAACACGGCCCTGTCATTTGCACCTGCCTGTTTCTCAGGCCCGCACCCAAGCTTGGCATTGCTCTGCCGAGGCCTGAAGGCACCATATGCCTGACCTCTGCCACGTTTCCAGTGCTTATTTTTCCAGCACAGCCTGTCCTTGACAGCTCAGCGACGATGCAGCTGCAGATCCTGCGAGATCCCGCTCCAGGCCCCAGGAATCCCAGGGCTCAGCCGTGTGGGGCGCGACGCACTGGGCACATGGAATTCACACGGCACTTTCTTTCCTCTAGCCTGCACCCTCCAGCAGTGAGCACGAGCTGCCCTGCCCTGGGTCCATTCCCCAAGGAGGTCCCCCACCCCCAAGCTCGAACAAGGTCTTACTGCTGTACCCCAGGCCCAGCACAGGGCCTGCATGCACACCGTAGGGATGCCGGGAGAGGATCGATGAATGACTGTACATGTAGCCCGCAGGTGCCTCACAGGCAGACGTCCGTCCTACACTATCCGCCCGAGAGAATCCAGCCAGAGCTTCAGTTTTTCAGTCATGGAGAGTCCTCTTCCCAGGGCTCCCCTCTGTCTGTGCACCCCAGGGCTGCTCCTACGTCAGCCAACCTAGTGTCACCTGGGCAGGGCCCACTGGCTCCTCCAGGTGAGGGTGGCTTTCTCCTGCTCAGGGCTTGCTGGATGCCATCCAGGCCCAGAGAGGGTACAGGAGTGACCCACATGCAGTGCCCCAGCTTGCTGCCAGCCATCAGGACCACTGTCCACTTGGCAGGTACAGGAGCTGTATCCCAAGCCTGGAGCCCACAAAAATGTTTTTTTGTTGTTTTTGTTTTTGTTTTTATTTTGCGGTACCAGAGATCAAACTCAGGACCTTGAGCTTGCCAGGCAGATGCTTATGCCACTCAGCTGTCTCCCTGGCCTGACAAAAATGTTTTGAGTTCTTTAAAATCACTAGAAAAAAAATTATGACCTTATATTCATACTGTCATAAAATATAACTTTTAACATATTTTGAAGAAGGGACTCAAGAATGCTGAAGTACCTAATTAAGTGTCTCAATCATTTTCTCTCTCTGTCTCTCTGCCTCTGTCTCTGTCTCTCTGTCTGTCTGTCTCTGTCTCTCTGTCTGCCTGTCTGTCTCTGTGTCTCTCTGTCTCTCTCTGTTTCTCTCTGTCTCTCTCTCTCTCTTTCTTTCTCTCTCTCTCTCTCTCTCTCTCTCTCTATCACTTTCCTCCCATGCTAAGGATCAAATACAGGGCCACTCTACTACTGGGCTACATTCCCAGCCTTTCTTAATTTATCCTTAGACAGAACCTTGTTAAATTGCCGAGGTTGGCCTCAAACTTCCACTGCTCCTTTCTCACCGTCCTAACGGGCTGGGGTTATAGGTGTGTACCACCACGCCTAGCTCCACTCGAACTTTCTCGGAAGCACTAGATAACAACAGTAACAACAACAGCAAACCCTACATAGTTTCTACCTAATGCCAGACTCTCCTCAGACAGCCCTAGGAGGCAGGTGCCACTTTTTAAAAGACAGGTTGGCCTTTAATTTACTATGTAGCCTCGGCTGGCCTCCCACTCATGGCAATGCTCCTGCCTCAGCTTCCTGAGCACGGGGATTGCAGGCATGTACCGCCATTCCTGGCTACCTCCACTTTATAGATGAGGCAATAGAAGCACAGAGAGGTTGTCACAAACATAAGGTCACAGATGACGTGGAGAGCAGTGGTGCGGGGTTCTCCTTCCTCGCGGAGCACCCCAACACTGCAGAAGCCCTCACCATCCACCACTAGCATCTGCAGCAGAGGACAGTGGCCTTGGGTGTCTCCGGGGATGGCTGTTTGGTGTCACCTTCCAGAAGTTCCCCAGCTGGTGAACATCTCAGAACAAGGAAGTTACCCTAAATCATGAGCAGCCCTCAAACCTCCTTACCTCCTACCCCCCCAAAAAAAATTTTCTCTGTGGACACTAAAAGATAACAGCTGTCTGCTGCCAGTGCCTCCTCCCCAACACAGTGGGGGGCTAAGGACGTTTGTGTCTTCTTAACAGTGGCATGTGGCTCTGAGCAGGTCCGCAGATAACCAGGTCCCTTCTGGGGGTGACACAGGTTTATGAGTGTCACTGGATAGAGCCCCATGTGTGTATGAGACTCAAAGAGGTGGTCGGGGCTGGGGGGGGGTGCAGAGGTCAATTGGTTACTAAGACTGAGACCAGGCACCCTGGCTCTTGTCTGCGAGTTCTGTGTGCCCCTCAGCCAACTGTGCAGAGGTGAGCCGGGCAGCTTCCAGCGACGCCACTACCAGGGCCAGGCTCTGCAGGGAGCAGGCAGAGCCCCACAGCCCAGACCCCGCGCTCTTACCCTCACACAGCCCATCTCAATGCCTCTGTTGCTTTTTTGTGTGGCTTTTTAAAATTGAGCTTTTTTTTTTTTTTTTTTTT